TCACCCATCCCTCCAAATTCCCTAACGTGAATAACTACCACACTCCTGACAGTTTTTTTCCAAATTTCAGGAATGACATTGGGTCACAAGAAAAAAAATATCTAATTTTGATGCTTGTTATCACGCTTTCCCTTGTCGTTCTGACAGAAATTCTATTATTTCCTGGCTTTGGTCCCATGTTCTAATTCTTCTAGATATTATTTAGTTTTTCAAATGTTCACTCAGCATGAGTGCCAACAGGCACATAAGCAGTCCTAGCTGCCTGAGATGGCCTCGGAGGCTGAACGGGAAAGCCTCTATTCGCACCAGCATGTGGACGGATGTGCCAGTAGGACCAGGGTCTGGATGCTCAAGAACAAAGTCTTTGGCTCAGATCAGCACTGTCCAATAGAAACATAATGCAAGGCATGTATGTCATTTTAAATTACCAGCAGCCACATTTTTAAAAAGTGGAAATAGTTTTAGTAAAATTTAGTAGTATCTGCAATATTATCATTTCGGCATGTAATCAGCAACACAAAAATTAGTGAGATACTTGACATTTGCATTAGTCACTCTGGTAGCCGTAACAAAGTACCACGGACTGGGTACCCTCAATTCATGTGTTCCCTCATAGTTCTGGAGGCTGGAAGTCCAAGATCAAGTGACCAGCTGGACAGCTTCTTTGGAGGCCTCTGTCCTTGGCTCGCAGATGGACCTCTTCTGAGTCTGCCCTCACCCAGTCCTTACTGTGGGGTCTGCGTGCTAACGTCTTCTTAGAAGTACACGAGTCTGATTGGATCCGGGCCCAGCCCAGGGACCTCACTTTACCCTAATCACCTCTTTAAAGGACGAAACACAGTCACATCCTGAGGTCCTAGAGATTAGGACTTGAACATGTGAGTTTCCGGCAGAAACAACTCAGCCCTCGACAACATTCTTTACACTAAGTCTTAAAAATCCCGTGTGTATTATATGCTGACAGCCCACCCTGGTTTGGACCGGCCACACTTCAGGTGCCAATGATCACATGTTCCTCGTGACTCCAGGATCAGAATGCTCAGGTTACAGTCCCACCCACTGCCTGAGTGCTGGCTTCCCCCGTGCACCTGCTCAGGGGACCCCCTGCATTAACTGAGGGCCTTCTCAAGTTCCCATTGCCCAGAACACTTGCTACCCATCACCAAAGAGCCACTGTGAGGTAGGTTCCCCCAAGGTGATTGCAATCTGGGAACGGAGTATAGAAATGTGTACATCGAGGCCCTCCCAAAGTCAAGTTTGGTGATCTGCAGCAATGAGCATAGCCATTTGTCTTATTCCATTGTATTCCAAAAAGGCACAGAGGACATTCTTTCTCAAATACTGCATAGACCCCCCCTGGCAGGGACACCCATGTCTCAGTCTTACTTCCTAAATGAAAATGAAATAATAAATATATATAATAATGAATATATTATTTCATTTATATATATAATGAATATATATATATATATAAATGAAATAAAAATGAAAATAAAGTGCCCAACTCTGATACCTTCTGCTGTGACCTCCCATCTCCCTCACTCCCTGGCTGGGTAGGTTTCCAGGGTCCTAGCCACAGGAAACAGGAGCTCATTTTCTCCTGCTGCACACACCATGCCCAGCCCCCACGGGAGAAGGAAATGGGGATCAAGGTCCAATACCAAGTTCTGTGAGCTATCTTTATTTTCACATGTCCAGTTGTGGGAAGCTGTACTAGAGCTGGGGGATTTGTGTGAATAGCATCTTTTCTAGAACATAGACCTACTTAGGTAATTTCCACATGCCTTGAGAGCCCTCCATTAGAAGCCTGACTCACTTTCTACTTAAATGCCCTCAGAGAGGGAGATGCTGCCCGTCTGCCTCCCATTCTGGGCACTTCTACCCCCTGGGGCCCACTGTGGTCACGTGACTTGCTTTAGCCAACGGCATGAGCAGAAACGCATGGGTCATTTCTGGACAGTGCGTGCAGGGGCCAGGCTGGTGACGCACTGTCCCTTCGTGGCTGCGTTCCTTTGTGGCGGAATCCGTGCCCATCTGGGCTCTGGGACAGCAGGACGGACTCGAGGCACGAGTAAAAAATACCTCCAGGTGGCCCAGAGCCACTGAGACGTCGTGAGGCTGAAGCTCCAGCATATTCCTGCCCATTGGGACTGATGGAGGCGATGAGTAATACTTGCTTCTGTTCTCTTCTTCCCAGGAAATGTCACGCTCGTTGATGTCAGAACGCGTTTTTTGTGCCTCAAAGCTAATCACCCGGGCACCTCAGATCTCATCTGATGGATTTTCTCCCTCACCTGTGCTCATTCTCAACGTGAGCTTTCGATGGATGAGGGGACTTTGGTTCTTTGAACATTCTTGTGGAAAAGTGACAAATCCTCAGGAAGGCTTTTCAATCGGTTTTGCCAAGACAAGTCTAACAGCTACTGTGGAGACAACCCTCCTGAACTGTGATTAACAAGTCCACTCTTCCAGACTCCAGGTTAGCCAGCTGGTCACTTTACCATAACCACCTCTGTGTCTCCTCCAGAAAATAGGAACATGTGAGAATGGTCCCTCTGTCTGCTTCTCTTTCTGTCTCTAATACTTTGTCACTTGAGCTTTTTCAAAACCAGGATTTCTCAACCTTGGCAATATTTACATTCTGGGCTGGAGAATTCTTGGTTGTGTGTCCGTACGTCATTCTAGGATGTTCAGCAGCGTCCCTGACCTTCACCCACTAGATGCCAGGGCTGTCCAGGCCCCTAGTCATGCCAACCTCAAATGTCTCCTGAGGGTTCTGGTTGAGAACCCCTCTATTCTAAACTGAACACATTCCCTCCCCGCCGCCTCCATAAGAGGCTACCTTTGCTAAGAATGAAAAGGACTCTCTTCTTTGATTTATTATTCATTGAAGGTCTCTGTCCTGTTATAGATGAACATTTCCAACTATCAGAAGTCACTCTCAAATGCTGAGTATTCATTCACTCTTCCACTGATTTCTCCGTTCCTCCAACAAATGCCCACTGGGTTACGTGCCAGGCATCATTTTGAGAATCAGACACTTGGTGGAAAGAAAATGTGTGGCTACTACATTCATGGCACTGAGAGCCTATTGAGAGACCTGCTGAGGACCTACACATACAAACCTATCGCTGCAAACTGTAGAGTGCTGTAGAGGAGGAGAGGACATCGCAGGGGTCAGAGGAGAGGTGACATTCAAGCTGAGATGGGAAGAAACCAGCCAAGGGCAAGAGCAGCAGAAGCCTGCTGGGCAGAGGCAGGAAGGGCTGATCCATGTGAGGCCCCCCACATTTGGGCGACGTGGTCAGAATATAGGGTGTGAGGGAGGGAACGAGGGTGACGTGGTAGGAGAAGTCTCAGGGACCGAGGCTGTTGGAGGACACATCGCCACGGTGAGAGCCCAGAATGGCCATGAGCAAAGGCACACGTTCCTTCAGCCCCAATGACATCTGGCCCTCCCCGGTCCCCCTCCTGCTCTGCCTACCCCATAGCCCAGAACACAGCAAGCCAGGAAGTCATCAGGGCAAGGAATGGCTGAATCAGCCCCATTTCCTCTAGCACTTTGCTGAGAAATAGGGTTCCCCTGGCCGAACTAATAAAATTTTAGTAATTGGCCTTAATTGTGAAAGCGTCTCATTGCTATGAAGAAGTATATTCTGTTCCACTATAGGACCAGGTGTAATCCGTAGAACATTTCCAAGTGGCCTCTGGGCAATCTCCATGCTATTCTGAATAGTTCGATTTTTTGTCCCTGTGACAAGGACAGTAAGGAATGAATAAAACACACATTATCTTTTCAATAGGGTTTGATCTGTATTGAGAGCCACAAAAAGAGGTAGCCATCATCCTCTCCTGCTGTAAGTGCTGTTTTAGGTAGAATTGTGTGTGTGTGCATCCCGCCCCTCCACCCCCCCAAAATCCCTGGTTTCTGTGAATGTGACCTTATTTGGAAATAGGGTCTTTGGATGTGATCAGTGAAGAGCCGGTCATACCGGATTGGGTGGTAAATCCAATGACCGGCGGGCTTGGGAGAGGGAAATCTGGACATGGAGACACACACAGGGTGGGTGCCACGTGCCATGGGAGATGGAGCCATGGGACACTGAGGGTGGCCAGCAACCCCAGGAACTAAGAGGAAGGCACGGAACAGATTCTCCCTTTCGTCATTCTGACACAGAGAGCACGGCCCTGCCGACATGTTCACGTCTGGCTTAGAGCCTCTAGGACAGGGAGAGAACCCATTTCTGTCATTTAAGGCCACTCAGTTGGTAATGTTTTATTACAGAAGCCCTAGGAGACTCACACGGTACCTCCACGGATTCTCTGGTCACCTTCCTCTGAGGGAGAAAGCAAAAGCAGGTAACCAAGATGAGTTATGAATCCTGATGAAGTCACAGAAGGAGGTCCGAAGTAGGTGGCAGATTTTCAAAACTTCCAAATCTCAAGTAGCTCCTTTTTTTTTCCCCCGAATAGTTACAGCTTATGTGAATCACACAAACTACACTGATGAGATCTATTACTGGCTGATTAAAATGATGGCAGGTTTCCTTCCCATAGAAGTCAATGGAATAAATAATTTGTGAGAGCCAATTAATCTAGAATCCGTCAAAATGGAGCACAACTGGTCTTACCACAGGATTCACTTCTCAGCGGTTATAGAAAAATGCAAACTGTCAAAGGAATCCATTCGTTGTAAGTGCTCAGAAGTGCCTCCAAATCAGGGTCCCGGACATGGTTCTCTCCGGCAAGGACTAGTAAAATACTTGTGCTTTTTAGTCTTTACTTTCAGAGCACGTATAAAGGGAAGAACTGCAGGGTTTTTTTGGTAGGATTTCTTAGAAGTGCCAATGGGTGGACCATGCATAAAACCTTCCAATACACAATCTGTTAACAAATGTCTGGTTCTACAAACATCGTGTGTTACAAAATGTGTGCTGTAGGAAGGTATGCATAAAGAGGAAAACACAGGAAAAAAAACGACTTTTTTTTTTTTTTTTTACCTTGCCTTTGTCGAAGTAGTGGATGATTTCCTGGTAGAGCTGTTCCTTCAGCTGGCCCTGTGTTGTCGCCTGGTACCCGTCCCGCTGGGTGAGGTGGGCTGCGCACACATCCTCCGACCACTGAGACAAAAGCAAAGCATGAGACCTGTCAGGTGAGGGTGTGTCCAGTGCCACCACTGGCCCACCCTTGGTCAGAATGCACCTCAGTGAGCCCCGCATGCCCTGCATGCATGCAGGCCAAGGTCCCAGGGACACTCGGGGCTGCTGGGGCCTGGAAACGAGAGTAGAACCTCTGTGTAGAACCCCTACGAGGCAGGGAAGATGAGACGGAAGAAAAGCTGGGCCTGGATTCATACAGAAGAGAAACCCAGCAGGTTCTGGAAAGCACAGAACCTTCAGCTTGCTGATAACGTCTTTTAACTCCTGAGGTGAATTATGAGCCAGGCGATTTGGGGCTGTCTCAAGTGAGGCATCCCGGGGTGCTGGCCTCTGTCCTGAGATGCTCAACATTTTACTCAACAGCGAAGAAGATACACGGATCTCACATACCAGTCATACCTTTAAGCTCTGCCTTAAAATTAGACTTGCGTAGCCTGACTACAACCAGTTGTTATGAAATGATTAATTATGGAGTTCTCACGGCATAGCTAGATTTCTACCTTCACAGGGGATAAACGTAAAATTTTAGGTGATTCTGGCATGTAACTACAATAAAATAAATAAGAAAGTTCTGATCTCGAATAACTTCTTTGCAGTTTAAAATCACTGACAAAAATATTGAATAGGGGAGAAAAAGTCCCTCTATACCTTCCAATTAAACACTCACATGATTTCACTTGATTACTAGGGCTCAAGGCTAATGGTTTTATCGCTCTTGTTTTTGACAAAATAACCAAAAAAGATATTTAAAAATTTTTAATTAATGAACAAGAATATATTTGTCACGTTGAAGAACAATTTTCATAACAATACAAATAATGCCTTTTGTAAGTTGATTAACCAGCATGAGTTTACGCTGAATGCAGTATCAAAACATATTTAGGGAAAATTGTGAAACGTCACGGTGTAAAATATATGGAGAGAAATTACAGAGCATTTGCCACTTAACTGGGAAATCCAGAGTCCCAGTGGAAAAGATAATGCATCCGGGCCTACGGTTTGGGATGTGAAAAGCCCCTGTATGGTCCGTGATGAACCTATCTGTGCTCAATAAATGTTTGTGTACTATGAGTGAGGGTAAGTGAGCACTTTGTCAACCCCATTTCAATTTCCCTGGTGAAAATAAATACCTTCGTATTTGCAAGAATGCCTTATTACCGAAATTTGGGTTTCTAACAAATGAAGACTGTTAGAATTCCTAGCGATACGGCTGGTGTCAGGTGTACCAACGGAAATCTCTATCATCCTAAATCACATTCTTTGGGAGAGCTTTATTGGTGTAACGTCTATTGATGACTATTGATGAGGCTCCCAGATGGAGCCTCCTCCTGTTTTCTTTGTAATGGACCCTTTTGTTTTCAGGCAAAGATAAATGTCCACACTCCAGTGTCTCTATAGCAGCCCGTGTAGATTTGTAGCATCAAGAGATGCTGGAGATTTTGGGGTTGGGCCAAAGGCTGGAAGATTCTTGCTGGAGTTTCACTCCAAACACAGTGTCCTCCTTAATGCTTCTCATTACCCACAGACATTGCTTAATGCCTGTTTTAACGTAATCTTTTTGGGTTTTTGGTGCTCGAGGGGCTGGCCTGATTTTGAAAACGGGACTCCTTGAATGAGTGGTCTTTACGTTGGGTCACTCAACTAAATTCTAATTCTCCTAACTGTTTGTGTTTATCCAGTTTATAATTTTTCAAATTTATAAGGATGTAATGGGAAAGAAGATCTAATGATTAGCTAAAGTTTTAAAACGTAAAACTAGAGGTTGTATAGCATCTCCTTCATCCATCCACTCATCCATCCATCTGCCACTTAGCTACCTACCTACACATTTGGATAAATCTATTTACCCATCCACTCATCCATCCATTCATCCATCCACCCATCTATCCACCTACCTACCCATACTTCCATCCTTCCTTCCATGCATCTATCCATCCACACTTCCATCTATCCATCCACTCATCCAACCATCCATCCACACACCCACCTCCATTCTTCAATCCATCCAACCATCCAACCACCCAAACATCCATCCATCCATCCATCCATCCATCGATCCACCCAATTATTTACTGAGGGTCTACTCTGTATGATTAACTGGGCTAGAACTGGATATGAGGGAAGAACATTAACGTATTACTGCAAACAAACAAACAAGCCAATGTCAAAAGATATGTGCATAACAAAAGAATCACTGGAACTGAAAGTTGTCATGCCAGACCTGTGCTCAGGAGCAACACTCCAGGAGAATCAGGCAGGAGATCTCACCTGAACTGATGGACTAATACAAGATCTCAATGTGAGCTCTTTGCTAAGATAATCAGGGATATGTTTCATCCTGTCTCTTACCTATCTACCTCAGAAATTCCCTCTTATTGATGACATTCTCCTCTACAACTGAGTCTTGCTGGCATGAATAAGGATCTGTAGAATCTCTAACTCATTGCTAGACAACAGCCCAATGATGGGTGTTTATGATGCTTAGTGATGATCTGTTAGGACATCTTGTTAAATCTGCATTCAGTAGGGCAAAGTCTGTCATCAAAGTACCTTCTAAATGTCTTCGTTTATGTCACTGCATTTAGTCAAAATCCCTAAGATCTTAAATTATAGGTTCATTAAAATTTATCATGGAAAAATAAAATTTTAAATCTTCCTAGAATTTATAACAACAGAATCATGAAGGTATGTAGTAATTTCTAGTAATTTCTATTACCTTCAGGAGCTTTGCGTGGAGAAGCAAGGTGTAGGCCGCCTCTGTGTAGTTGTCACACTCTCTGTGCAGGTCACAGAGCTTGTACAGGTACCTGAGACAATGAAACACAGCGATATTCTTAAGATGTCAACAAATCATTTGTGTTGAGGACTGCAAGATCTGACATCTACCTTCAACGGTAAATTGTATCTATACTTTCTCTTCACAGTGGTCACAATTCCCAATGCCTCGAACACTTCCGGTGCAGAAAGCACTAAGGAAAACCAACAAGAGTAATATACAATAATATTTTGTAAAAAAATTTTAAGTCCTCCCTCTTCAGGTTGAAAATGAAGACTGCCCAAGAATGCAGAATTGTACTTCAAGGGTCTCTCACTGCTTTTCATCTTTTCCAGAGTTTTCTTCTTACAATTGAAATGAGATCATGAAGTTTGCTTGTGATTTCTCACATTTCTATTGAATCCAAATGCACACCCCCCCCAAAAAAATCCATAAAAATACAAATCCATAAAAATAAAGAGCTCCAATGATCACGGTGAATGTGATCAAAAGAATTTCTCTGCCATAAAGATATGAAGGTTGCTTTTTAATATAGAGTAAACTACATTTTGGATAAAAGAATCTGGTTGCTTTTGCAAAAGTTTATTAAGTTTATGTGATATATTTTTATAAAGGAGAAACAAAAAAAATTCTTAGAAATCAAGTTAGAAAATCATGCTTGATGTAATAAACACATCATTAAACAATAAGCCACATGGACATACCCTTATTCTATTCTGCTAAGTTATAATCTTGCTAAATACTGACACTGGCCACTAGAAGTGACCAAGAGAGGGGCTACATCACAGCCCACCCCTCTACAGAAAAAGGCAAATGAAGGAGAAAAATCCAGCAGATAATATAAAACATCAGAATATAGTGTCAGTTAAAGGAAGAATAGACTGAAAAATTATACTGTTGTCTCTTTCTGATAAAATTAAAACTCATTTCTCATTTGATCATATGGTTTACTGTAAAACATGAAAATTATGCTGTTGTCTCTTTTCAAAAGGGCCACATGAGTCAGTCAAGAGATACAAAAACCCTGTGAAATAATAATTTATGGCTTTACTCTAAGCTGGCTAAATATGACCCGTGAAATGTCTGCGTTGACATCTGCACAAGGATTCAGAATACACCAAACTCAACTTCTGGATTCACGATTTCTACAAGATAAACCCCTGTGGCCATAAAACAGTTGTTAGCATGCACTTGACAAACAGCAACTATCATAAACGTGCAGAGGGCGTGGACAGGCGGGATGCCTACATACCTTATATACATTTCTTCTCTTTCAATTTCTTTGTAGAAATTCTGAAAAATCAAACCATAACACTGTTTTAAGAAACCTGTTTTACAAAAGGTGTCACATGAGCTTTAAACATTCACAGTTCTTCCACTGGTGTCTAGCACAGCCAAAGGGACCCAGCTCTTTGGTTTAGAACCATAAATTCACATAAAGTACAAAGATGTCTTACACTGGTCTTCACTTTTTTTTTTTTTAAAGATTTTATTTATTTATTTGAGAGAAAGAGAATGAGAGATAGATAGCACGAGAGGGAAGAGGGTCAGAGGGAGAAGCAGACTCCCTGCTGAGCAGGGAGCCCGATGTGGGACTCGATCCCGGGACTCCAGGATCATGACCTGAGCCGAAGGCAGTCGCTTAACCAACTGAGTCACCCAGGCGCCCTGGTCTTCACTTTTTTTGGGGGGGGGGGGGTGACGCTAATGATTCCACTTCCTACACTGTGAGGACTAAAACCTACTTTTGTCATTTGAAAGTCACCAGTCTTTAGCTAAATGAAGGTATTACCCCAAAGATATGATGCCTTAGCCATTCTTACCATTGTAGTCATTAGAAAATGAAAAAAACATGAAAGATCCCAAATTTGGGAATAAACATCATCAACATGATTTAAAACATGCTGGGCCCAGCCTTGGCTAGAGCTGCAAGAAGGCAACGTGGTATTCTAGACCTGAGGTGTCCAATACAGTAGCCATAGCCACATGTATGCAAATGTAAATTTAATTAAAATTAAATAAAGTTAGGGCCACCTGGGTGGCTCAGTCAGTTAAGCATCCAACTCTTGACTTGGGCTCCGGTCATGATCTCAGGGTCATGGGATCCAGTCCCATGTCGCGCTCCCCGCTTGGCAGGGAGTCTGTTTGAGATTCTCTGATTCTCTCCCTCTCCCTCTGCCCCACCCCACTGCTCTCCTCTCTCTCTCTCTCTCTTAAATAAATAAATAAGTCTTTAAAAAAATTAAATAAAGTTAAACATTTGCTTCCCCTGGGAAGCCATCTGGCCCTGGACTCTTATTTGTTGGGAGAGTTTTTATTACTGCTTCAATGTCTTTGCTGGTTATGGGTCTGTTTAGACTTTCTATTTCTTCCTGTTTCAGTCTTGGGAGTTTATACATTTCTAGGAATTTACCCATTTCTTCCAGATTGCCTAATTTGTTGGCATACAATTGCTCATAGTATTCTCTTAAAATTGTTTGTATTTCCGCAGTATTGGTTATGATCTCTCTTCTTTCATTCACGATTTTATTTATTTGGATCCTTTCTCTTTTCTTTTTGATAAGTCTGGCTAGGGGTTTATCAATCTTGTTAATTCTTTCAAAGAACCAGTTCCCAGATTTGTTGATCTGTTCCGGTTTTTTTTTTTTTTAATTTCTACATCATTGATTTCTGCTCTAATTTTTATTATTTCCCTTCTTCTACTGGACTTAGGCTTTATTTGCTGTTCTTTTTCCAGCTCCTTTAGGTGTAAGGTTAGGTTGTGTATTTGAGACTTTTCTTGCTTCTTGAGGAAGGCCTGTATTGCTATATACTTCCCTCTTAGGGCCGCCTTTGCTGCATCCCAAAGGCTTTGGACTGTTGTGAAATTCATTTTACATTCATTCATTTTAATGTGCTTCCATGCTCCCTCTGTTACGCTTGCCATACCCTGAGCACTCAATAGCCACGTAGGGCTAGTGTTACTGTACCAAACTGTGCAGAGAGAGAACATTTCCAGCATCACAGAAATTTCTATTGGACAGTGCTGTTCCAGACAGACCGATGTTGCGAACCACAGTAAACCACAGAACTGGTTGCCACTTGAAAGCACCTTCTGTACTTCAATGCTCTCTGACGAAGAAAGATTAATTAGCAGGTTATAAGCAATCGGCTCTTTCTACATACTGCAAAATATCTTCTGGGTGAGCATGAAAATTTCTATAAAAATTGTATTTCTTGGGGTGCTCAGGTGGCTCAGTTAAGCGTCTGCCTTGGGCTCAGGTCATGATCTCAGGGTCCCAGGATCGAGTCCCACATTGGGCTCCCTGCTCAGCAGGGAGTCTGCTTCTCCCTCTCTCTCTGCTGCACTCTCTCTCTCTCTCAAATAAATAAATAAAATCTTTTTTTATTGTAATTTTATTTACGTTAAGAAATTGCATTTCTTAACGTAAACATCTCTATAAACACTTTAAGATCTTTACCATATACAGGGCCCCAAAAAGGTGCAGAACGCTCACCTAACCAGGCCAAAGGTATGGCAGGCACCACCACAGCCACTTTCAGTGTGAAATTTAGCCCCTGAATACAACGTGAGGACTCTAGGATTCGGGCCTAAGATCATAGTGCATATCACGATTATAAAGGACTCCAATTATCCCATAAGATGGAATAAGTTGTTTAATTTCATGAGCAAAAAAAGATACTGCTTCTGATAGTGATCTCTCTGAAAAGAAGTGATAAACAAATATAGAAAGTAAGAGGGGGCACCTTTAGAAAAATGCTCCAAGATTTCCATATTTTGCTGCATCTGAGATTTTAATGTCCTCTGGTTCATATGCTATGGCTCAGTAATGAGGATATTTTCAGCCGACAACTCAGAGGGACGTAACAAAGAGAATCCGCATCAAAGGGAAGATGAGCCCTTCACTTCCAGCTCTAACTCACCAGTATTTACAAGCTACGATTTTATACCATCCTATTTTGCACTGGTATTTTTAATCTTTCCCCAAGCTTTTGATCATTCTCCTTTACAATTTCACAATAAGGATATCATGCGACCTTTATTCCTCTCTCACAGATATGGAAATGTCTTCTATTTCCTGCCTGTGCTTAGTTCTGTTCCCTTCCTAGGACTTCAAAACACCTCTACAACTGAAGGACGCTCATCTCAAACCCCAGTTTCTGTATAAAACTGTGGGTTTCTTATGTAAAAGTTCACATTGCTCTTGGCGCTCCACTTCTGGGCTCTGCAGGCAGCACCCCTCCCCCTCCCCATCATCCCCCCTTCTGAAGTCCCCTCTGCACCAGTGCTGAGTCTGTGCCAGGCTCAAGCTCTGCGGATCTCTGCAACCCTTTCTGGACTAGACCCCCAATGCTAATGCACCACAAAGCACCAAGCTTCCAGAACTTACACATTTGCCTTATACTCCAGATCTGTATTCCTTCATGATGACAACAAGTACTGAGATTTTTAGAATTCTCATGAGAACCACCTTAATTAGCCTTGTAAAGGGGCCATGAAAAAAGTAACTGATGTCTAAAAAATAACAAGGAGTCTATCACGTCTGAGAGAGGGCTATCCTGATGACTGCGTAGAAAAAAGTGGTGACACACAACAAAATTACCAACCAGTCATGAAAGAATGCACGACTGTGAGGGGACAACGAAATTCTACTTCATTACAAATGTGCATTCTGTCCAGGGGCAACCATGATCCAATGTAATGCAGACGTGCTTCAGGGATGGGTACGTGTAGAGGACTTAGGTCACTGCACAGTGACTGCTCGTCAATTATTAAAAATTTTTTTTTTAAATGCAAGAAACAGTAACACATTAGTGAACCCACACAACTTAGAATGTTCACCGATTCCATTTTATTTTTTTAAAAACAAGAGCACTGGTTCTAAAGGAAATTTGGCAATGGGCTTAAAGGGCATCAATAAATCCTATGTTCTTGATTCTATTTTTTAACTTTAGGATTTCAAGGTTAGCGATAAACAGAGTGCATTTTATATATCACTAATGTATGCTTATACGTCTATATCCATCTAGAGATGGATATACATATTCATCTCTATGAAACTCTGTTTCTTAATAAAGTACCAGGAGACAAGGTGAAAATGGACCAGGAGATTAAAAGTGTATTTACGTTTTTATTTATATGACTAAATGTGAGCTGGGTAGTGAATATTAAAAGACAGAACATCAGTCTGTACAAGCCCGGTTTTCTTGTTTCCCTTTAATCCATAGATCTATCTTACTTTTTAAACGAAAGACCTGTGATAGGCTGGGATCCATCTTATGATCCCCAGGAAATGGTTAAGAATGGATCTCCTGACTCTTCATGGACTGATCTGGGATGTTCCAAGTTCAAAGATGTTAACGATGTCAGGTAATCTCAGGAATCCTGGGTGTGTTTCTTGGTTAGAGCCTGGCTAGTGCTGACTGCAGTAACAACAGGTAGGTCCTGAGTGAGCCTCCGTATGACAGAGGAACACAGTTTAACATCAGAAACTGTGATTGCAGGTGGCCTTTCAAAAGCTGATTTTCCGACCCTGGGTTCTGATGATAAAAGGCCACATTCAGAGCACATCTCCACTAGGTTTCACGTCCTGGGGAGCATGAGAGATCTTGCTTAAAAAAAACAATATTCTCAATCATCAAAGTTGGAAAGTGAATAAACATATTAATAATTCTTCCCTCTGGACACAAATCAGCTTCTTAGATCCCATTAAAAATCCGAGGGAACATTAGAAAAGTATGTCCATAGTAGGAAAGTAAGCGGTGATTCACTGGATCCTCTTGTCTCCAATTTTGCGGGGGAGCAGTTTTCCCTGTAGATCTGAGAAGATGGATCTAAGAAGAGTTGTTAATTTTTGGTTTTCCAGCTTTTTCCTTATGGCGAAGAGTCCAAGCTCCTTTTAAACTGGAAACCAGCAGTCCCCCATATTTAGATGTTGAGGGAAAAGAAAACTTGCTATAGAAGATATTTATCATTCGTCAAAACAGGCTGCCAATCCACAGAAGGCAGGCGCTGAGGTGGCTCATGAGCTTTCAGTTGCAGGTGCTGAGGTGGCTCATGAGCTTTCAGTTGCAGGTGCTGAGGTGGCTCATGAGCTTTCAGTTGCAGGCGCTGAGGTGGCTCATGAGCTTTCAGTTGCAGGCGCTGAGGTGGCTCATGAGCTCCTCATGCAAAGCACAAATGCAGTATCGACAATACACTGGATGGGAGGTGAAAATATCCCCTTTTGCTTTTAAACCTATTGCATCTCTAGTGGTTTTCTGAAGACTGAATGATGGGTCCTACTCCTCTTGGCACAAAAGTCCATTTCCACGAGTTCAAAGTGCCTCCAGGTCCATTCCACTTGGGGGGATGGGGGGATGGAAGTGAAGGTAGAGCATCTACGTGTCATCTAATGACCAGATCACAATATACAAACTCCAGAGAAGTGAAGTAGGTAGCACGAAGCAGGAATAGTGTTTTCTCAAATTCCTGCCTTTGTACAGGCAGGGGCAATCGAGGCAAACCCTCTCAGCACCAAGAGTCTGCTTTTCTGGCTCCTTCTGGGCGTGACCGAGGAGGATGACGCAGAGAAAGGAAGAGAGCTCTGAAGGCAGATGTGGGAGTCACATGGCTCCTGACAGTGACGAGACTGGCCAGCCACTCCCTGCAGCTGAGCTTATCAAGCTTCCTGAAAGCGCCCTGCCCCGATTTCTGCACCACAACTACACCAGGAAGGGGGTGTCCACAGGACCTGGCCATGTCACAGTGACAGGAAGTGTGCAAGAGGCCTGTGGATGGCAGCGGCCAAGTTTACCCAAGCCCCCTGCTCTCCATGAGGCCATGAGCTGGTTCCTCGTGGCTGCTATAACAAATCACTGTAACCCTGGTGGCTTCAAATGATATTCTCTCAGAGCTCTGGAGGCCAGAAGTTGAAATCTAGGCATCAGCAGGGCCACAATCCCTCTCAAGGCTCCAGGCGAGAATCCTACTGGCCTCTCCTCACTTTTGGTGGTTCCAAGTGCCCCTTGGCTGGTGGTCACATCACTCCAGTCTCTGCCTGCACCTTCACATGGTCTTCTGTGTGTCTCCTTTCCTGTCTCTTCTAAGGGCACTTGTTATTGTTATTGGACTTAGGGCCCACCTGGAGAGTAATTCAGGACAATTGCCTCTCGACACCCTTAACTAAATCACATATGCAAGGAACCTTTGTGTCCAAGTACAGTCACATCTACAGGTTCTGAGGATTGGGAGCTGGACCCATCTCTTGGGGGCCACCACTCAACCCACTACAGGACATGTCTGCAACCTCCTAATGATGAAGCAGTAGAGACCTCTCATCAATGACAGTGCTACCCTGGCAAACAAATAGGATGGCTCATCATTCTCAGCCCCAGGAAGAAGAACCTGGAAACCCCCAGAGGGGAGATGATTTTGAAGACGTGTTTATGGCAGAACTGCAAAACCCTTCTTCATTTGTCCTTCCCTGCAACACACAAGGAAACGAGCAAAGGAGGCTGCGTTCTGCCTTGGAAAGTTCCAAGGTCAGCTGCCAGGAGGCTTTTGAACTTCCTGGTTCAGTTTCTGGCTCACTGTGAAGATGGAAATTTAATTAACTTGCATTTCACTCACCAGCACGTTGACAGTGCAGCTCATGCGATTTTCTTTGTTCTCATCATGCATGATGGTTCTATAATCCAGAAGTCTTTCCATCAGGCGCACAACGAGTTTGACGAAAGTTTCTCCTGTTTTGGCGAGGTATTTGTGCTTCCTGCAGTGCTCCAAGAGGCTGAAAAATAATTATGCACACCTTGTTAATCACGCTCAGAAAAAGAAAGTTGACTGAGGTGCAATTTAAAATATTTTCTATTATTAACGCATTTTAATTATTTCTGGGCTACAAAGTTCATTGTAGTCTAATTACAATCTCTCTGTCTCTATTCTGACATAATTCCTACTGTTAATCAACACTTACATTTTATCAAATAACACTTTGTACTGTTCATCTCCTCTGCCTCCTTCCACTTCATGATCCAGTTTGGTGATGATCTCATTTTCAAACTATAATTAAACACAGGAAGCGTAAATAATCAGCATGGCGGATATTTCATTTTAAAAATGAGCATCAGTAGTACATAAATCAGTAAGAGAGCATCATCAGATAGTTAGTTACACTAAGTCTCTGAAGCCTGATTTCATTTAAGAATCGCCATCCCTGGACCCCTGGAGATGTCTGATGATCCCCTGCCATAGGGGGAATCTTTCATTTCCTTCCCTGGTTAATGGAGCCTAAACATGTATATTCTGATAGCAGGAGCAAGAACCAGAGAAAGAAAGACTACGGAACATGAAAAAGCGTCTCAAACTTCATCTCCACGAACAAGTAACATCTAAAATAGCTCGGTGGTTCCTGGAAAAGAACAGATGGCATTTCACTTGCCAGCAAAGAGTTCTCTGCAATCGCAAAACATCCAAGGGGCCACTTCACTGCCATTCCTTGATGGATCTAGTGAAATATCTCACTTTGGTTGAAAAAAATATTATAAAACACAGGAGGGATAATGTCCCTAAAACACCAGCAGATATCTCAAGAAGGTCCATCTCCAGGCCTTCTCCTTGAACACCCCAAAGCTTCTGATCAGATTTCCAGAGCACGGCAGTGGGAAAGGATCCCTAGAACTGTCTCTTGGACCCAAACCCTGTCTCTTGGAGTTTTGGGAAAAACTCTAAATTCTAGAGAGGTACAAATCTCCAGGCTGTTTTCACAAGGGTCATGAACCTCACGGTTGGCGAGGCTGGAAATAACCACCTCGCTAATGACGAATCTGAGCACCCATCCCTGCTGCCCAGTCCCCCAACCCTGGCAGGATTCAGGGCCACCTCTGTATGGGATTCTCCATAGTTGACCGCCATGTTGCAGGGGCCCTGAAATTACCCATCGACTTGGGGCAGGGAGGAAGGAGGCCGGTGAGAGAGTTACTCCCACAGAGCAGGAGACAACCACACCAAACTGAAAGAAGACAGGTATAGGAGGAATTGAGGGAAACAACAGCTAAATTTGGGGTTCAGAAAGCAAGAACACCCTGCATGTAGGCAGGGGCCTCTAGGATCCCCTTATTTTATTTTTTAAAGATTTTAAGTGTTTATTTAAGAGAGAGCACGCACAAGCGGGGGCAGGGGGAGGGCTGAGGAAAAGGGAGAAGCAGGCTCCCCGCTGAGCAGGGAGCCCAATATGGGGCTCAATCCCAGGACCCTAGGATCATGACCTGAGCTGAAGGCAGACACTTAACTGACTGAGCCACCTAGGTGCCCTAGGATCCTTTTAAAATACGTGCTCGGACAATGCTTTCCCAGGGAAGAATCCCCAAGTCTTCCACTATTACTAGGTTCCTATAATTATTTTAGTTGTGTGTTAGAACTTTTGTGTCTCTGGGTCTCTCCTAGAACAATGCCTGGTGTTGATGTTCTAATGGCATGAATGTACTATGTGCACATGAATCACTGGGGTATTAGGGCTACATTGGAGCTGGGGAGGGCTTCACACATCAGCAGAGGCATGGTCCAGCAGGTTGCTAAGACACAGGCTGGGCTCTTGGTCATGCAAGCCAAGGGGCGGACACACTCATCTGACGGCTGGCAACAGGGGTTGCCAGCATACGGTCCACACTGGGCACTCAGGGTGCTGCTGTGGCCATGGTAGGCAGCTGACTGTGGCCCCTGTGAGGCAGAAAGCAAGGGGTCTGGGGAGACCCAGGGAGGAGTCTCACACCGGCACAGAGCTGCCTGACCTTGATCAGGACTTGCTGCCTGAAGCCACAATTTTATCACAGTACAGATGAAGTGGAGGCTTAAACAGGACTGGAGAGGAGTATTGATTCCTGCTTGACATCAAGGACTCAGCCACATCACGGATCCCAGACCTCCGTGCATCCTGTACTTCTCTCCTTGATCTTCCCCATTGTCTCCTCCCCAAATAAACACCCTCTGTTTCATTCTGTTTGGCCTGAAAAGTTCAGGGATTTTTAGGAACATAGAAAAAAAGGCAGCTCTAGTGAAGAAGAAAAAAGAACTTGTTTTATTGTTTTTACCTGAAGCCTCATGATAATGACTCTCCTGTACAGTAAGAACCTTTTGATACTAACACACTAGTACTTTGTTCTTTACAGTAAAGAATTCTGCAAAAGGTGGGCCTCTTGGGAATCAAATACAAGGCAGATCAGCTGCCATTAGCCCAAACATTGATGCTTCAAGCCAGTCCCATTTCCTGGAGGGTACCATGATAGGAGCACCACAGAGAGTTTTGTGAGTGCTGGTTCTTCAGAACAAATAATTGAGGTACAAAGTAAGACTCAACTTAATTAAAACATAAGATTGCACACCACACATGTTTAATGAGCATACAATGAGGAAGGCACATAGAATGCAGGAAAACATGCTTTATCCTAACGTGGGCAAACACAGACAGGCATTTCAACTGTTCATCACTAGTTAATCAGGCATATTTGAACTTGGGAGTCTACTTTATGGAAATGGCATGTTTTCTCTGCTTCCACGTAAACCTAGCTGTCACCAACAAGAGCAATAAGGAAACTCCAGCTCCTTAAGTATGCTGCTTATCAAATTTTGACTGATGAATTTAATGTTTCCTAAAATGAGCAGATGAATGATAAGTAAATCAGAAGAACACAGCTGATTCTAATTTTACTAACCTCTCAACTTAGTAATTTGCACAAGCACCTGGCAACCCTATTCTGTTTATCAGCAAGGATTCAATAACCCAGATCTGCAGCCAGCCTCTCATTCCAGGGTCTGCATTATTTTTTACAGAATATACGAGAATCAATTTGTTAGTGTGCTGTGAACCGTTATCATCATCAGAACTAAACGATCCTGTCCAAATAAACTGGAGAAAGTCCATTTGCTGATAGAGCAGAGCTGGTTTTATAAAGAAGTATGTTGATGATCTGACTCGTAAATGCACACTGTCGGGTAATGCGCAGCAGGGTTCTCTATGGTTAGGTTAAAATTAGCAAGGGTTGACTGTGTTGCTCAAAAGGTGGCAGAGGCTCACTCATGTGATGAGCAAAATCATTATACTTCTTCTCTTTTCGGAATCACCAGTATCACTACACAAATGTCCACAGGGTGTCCAACTTAAAATGCTGAACAGAGCATCTCTAAGCATACAATACCAGCGGCCCTCCAAGAGTATGAAACAGAGTCCACGTATAAATTTAGGGCTTTCTAGAAGGTTGCTATAAAGCCAAATGTAGTGAAGCAGGGGGCTACACTCACAGGGGTACTGACAGCATTGTTAATTCAATTAACTTTGAAAGGAATGACTGCTTTCACCACTTGACGCCACAGTTAACCACGGGTTATTGGCTCCAATTTAAGGGATCATGGAGTGAAGGATCTCAGCAGTGGATAATCCAAAAGCCAATTCTGTTTGGTTTAGAATGCATCATTTTTGTTGGGAGTTAGACTGACCATTCCTGCTACAATGCATTTATACATGTTTAGAACCAGGCCCGCATTTTCCAGGCATCCAGGAACACATTTACACAAGAGACTGGAGCTTATGTCAGAGCAAGGAAGGGGGCTGGACCCAGATGGAAGGGTTTGCACAAATAATTCACCACATCGATAAAGTGTTTGGAGGTTATCAAGAACGGGGTGAAATCTGAAATCTAGGCCCATGGTCTTCTACGTACATTCGCAAAAGCACTTCAACTTTCTACAAATAAGCCTTAGTGAATGTGCTCTTTGTCCAAAGGTGCTCTGCTTTCTCCTGTTGTTCAAGAAAATGCCCTCACAGGTGCTGGAGGTAGGATCATGATTTGAGAGCGCTCCCTGGTCTCAGAGACTCCAAGGAATCAGATTCTCAATATCTGAACTTCCAGAAGGAACTGGGCCAATCCATCAATCCAGTAGGATTGCAGAACCATGTCCCTTCTCATTAGTGTGGACAGGAGGAGCAGGTGGGAGAACGTCACTGAACTGTACCTTCAGGGAAAACAGGACTGAGGGACGAAGGAGCCAGCATGGCTGGGCAGGGAGCCGCCTAGCACTCCTACACCCTCCGGGCTCTGTGCTCACACGGTGACATCCTAGAAGTCACTGAGGCCCCCCAGCCTCTCACAGCCTTTAATCCCTCTGCTCAGACACATGAATAGTTTTATGTATATTGCATTCCTCTTGCTTAACCACTCTGTAAACTTAATTACACAGTTAATCTCCGGCACTCCATATCTCACATTCTAAAATCCCCACATCCTTCCAAGTCCAACAAGAAGGCTGTTTGCTGACCTTGAAGCTTCTGCCTAGAGCCCAGGAGCCCCACGGCTGGGGAACCGTGCACTGCCTGGCTGGCCAGCAACACCTCAGACAAGTATGGCTGCTCCCCGTGTCCACACCACACACACCGAGAAGTGGCTTTTGGGCTGTATTCAATGACCCTGGACTCCACGAACATGCTCTCAGAGTGAGTCCTGTTTAATTTGGTTAAAAGAGATACAGGAGTGTGGGCATCTCTCTGCTGGAGGGCTTGTAAGAACAGAATTCAATGTCACCAGAACTCAGACTCAAGGGCATTCATTTCCATGATCTCTCCGGCGCTTGGGTCTGGGATTCAATGAAATAAAAGCCTAGTTCTTGTGCTGTATGTTCCCTTTCAGGGTCCAAAACAATAAAATCAAGTAATATTTTGAAATCGAAAGCAAAAGTAACCAACAAACAAAATCCCAAAGAATTAAAGAATAAACAGGATAAAATCGCCACCAAACTCATATCCATAGGACAGGGCAAAATGTCAGGGCTATCCCACCAAGTGGCAGAAGCAGCCAACATCCACTTGGGTTATTCAGTTATTTGCTTAGGATTACCAGCATGGGCTGGAGAAAGAGATTACTCGAACAGGACCTCAACAACATCGAAGATGCCAAGATTACTCATGTTCCAATAGTGTTACAACTAAATGGGAATTTCCGGAAGTTGTGGAGCACTTTACTGACCCTCACAAAAATGACAGAAAATAACTCCATGATTGAAAATATGATTTTGCTGTGGAGACTTTTCCACCCCATTTTTATTAATGGTTTACAGCCCGTGCAGTCATCTGCCGCAATTCTCAGCTGTTAGTTCCGTTTCTCCCAAAGACATAACAAATGGAATTCTTTAAAAAGGTGCCAGAAGGGAATTTGAAAGTATGCTTTTTTTTCCTGAAGCAAAATCCAGTGAGGCTGAGACTCAGAGCGTTACCGATTTGGGGGCAGGGGTGTCAGTGACACAGGGGAGAGGTTAGTTTCAGGCCTGGTGAAGGCCTCTCTCGTGGTAACGTGGCTCAGTCAGTGCACAAGCCGGTGTAAGGGGCACCGAGATGCCGATGCCTCCAAATCTCTGCACCCTAGCCGCGCAGATCCTGAAGGCTTCACACGTAGGAGCTCTCCTTTGAAAAAAGTCAAGATCTCCCAAAGTCCCCAGTTCAAGAGTAATGAACATGCTACTCCAGGACTGGGGTCTGGGTGAGGGCAGGTGCGCATGGGGAACAGTGAACACACTGTTGGGATGACTTGAGGAGCAGGAAAGTGGCAAGGAGAGAGACCAGAGAATACGTCCTCCAGGACTAATGGGCAGGGGAGAAGCAGTAGAAGGCGACAACGGAGGAGAATAGATGCGGCCCGCACATCATAAAAGATTCTTAGGAAGGCCTAGAAGAACCAGGAATTGCTGTGAGCCGGCCTTCGCAGAGCTTCTTCATCACCTGTGAAGATCTGCCTATAACAAGTTTACAAAAGGCAATGACTGACGCACTGGAAAGCGTGTCTCAGGCCAGCAAGAGGACAGAACACGTGAAAGGTAACTCCATGCCACCCCATCCCACAGCCGGGCAAACCCATTCAGTGCCTGGACATGGAAGAGGCAGGGTCGGTAACACCAAGGACAAGGACACGGACACGCTTCTTTTGGATGAAAATTCATGCTCTTTCTTGCAAAAGTAGAGGAAAGAAGTAGACTTTGGGGGAAATGTATGTGTAAGAACATTCTAACGCAAGTCCCTCCACTACAGTGGAAGAATACAGGAGCTGCAACTCTGGGGAACCGGAGAAAAGCCAATCTGTAATAACACGCTTTGGAAATTCCAATAATGGTTTGATGCAGTTTAATCTTGAGTAAAATGGCAGGTCCTTCTTCTGCATCCAGCGGGTTCGCTGTCCACTCCAGCTGGAAGAGCACACTACTCCCCAGACAGACTGCGTATTTCACAAATGTTAACAGCCCTGCACCAGAAAGACATAGCACACTTATAAAAAATAAGCTACAACACAGGTTCAAAACACGAATGTTGTAAAAACGAAAAACCCTAATGTCTTCCCCTCACTTCATTAGGTTTGCACATCTGCTATAAAAGTGAAGCCAATTTAAGCCCTTGTTGATGTGACTAATAAGGTTAGGAAATTGGATTGGTGGCGGATTAGTTAAACAGCAACCAGCCAGCCCCAACCTGGAGGCTCCCTGGGATGGAGGCAGGGATGCCTGTGCCCTGCTGTTCTGTGCACACGCCCACTCGCTGCAATAGCCCGATACCCCCACCAAGGACAGAGGGCATGCCTCATGCATCAGGAAGGGGAGCCCCTAGGAGACGAGAGTTGACCTGAGAATAGGAAAGAGTGAGAAAAGGTAGAGCAAGTCAAGAGACAGATGCTGTGGTCCAGAAGAGCCCTGGGCAAGGCCCAAGAGAAGCAGCTGGATGTTGGAGATGAGACAGAGGAAGGACGGACAAGTCGCCACAACCCACCATGGAGGACAAAGGAGCAAACAAAGACAAGCCACTGTAACCTGCACCCATCAAACCAAACGATGAGGAGCCTGGGAAAATCCGGCATGATAGGGGAGCAGCAGGTCTGGGAAGGATGATACTCTGTGTGACAGTCCACCTGGGAGGCTGAGACAGACCAAGAGAAAAAATAAATGGAGGTACTACAAGAGAAAAGGAGATTGATCTTTTTCCCAATTCACAAGAACAGATTAATAGAACAGAGAGCTTTTTTTTTTTTCTCAAGTTTTAGTTTTTCTGCCTTTATTTTAAAAACCTTTGGTGTGTCCTACCACTTGTCTTTGAAGGTACAAGTAGGTGCCAACACAGATGAACAAATGGTCAACGATTATTGATCAACAAATCCAAGTAGCAGACCATGCTTATCCTGACAGCAGGTTTTGGGGACTTATGTCTTCATGTTTATGCTTTTATTCATATATATCCAAGCGAGACATGTTTTAGGGATATGAAACTGTGAAGTAGAATTAAACGTGCATAACTGCTTCTTGGTATTACTCAGTTTGGTTTTCTGGAAAACTGGCTCCTGATATTAGAGTTTTTGAACCCACCACTGGGGGCAGCATTGAGAACGAAGGCAGAAACACCATGACTCTTATTCATTAACTTTGTGCCCTTTATTGACAAACCAGAGACCCTGTGAATTGGAGAAAATGAAGCACTTCCACAGATGATTGTGTAAGATGCTTTAAAGCTGCAGGAATGAGAACCACAAGGACGGAAGGAAGAAGAGGAACAATTCAGAAGCCAAATTCTTATTCATGCCTTTGTCCTTACTCCAACTGCTGCTGACCTTATTTTGACCCAAAGTTGGCTTCAAAGAATGACAAATGACACTGTTTTAAAGGCCTTTGATCTTAGTTTCCTGAGCTCATAACACTTATTCATATAAATACATTTTTCTCCTTTACCTGATTTTTTTTTTTTTAATAAGAATTATTTATTTCAGAGAGAGAGAGAAAGCACATCCCAGGGGTGGGGGGCAGAGACAGAGGGAGAAGGAGAGAAAGACTCTCCAGCAGACTCCTCACTGAGCATGGAGCCCAGCGCGGGTTGGTCGATTTCACGACCCTGAGATCCTGACCTGAGCTGAAATCAAGAGTTGGATGCTTAGCAGACTGAGCCGTCCAGGCACCCCTACCTGACTCTTTCATAGCATTTTTTCATAAGGTCCTTCTTTGGGGCTTGATTCATATAAAACTCAAAGAGTCAGATGTATTTTCAGCCTAGGAAAAGGCATTTTTAAACTACAAATCCTAGTTCTGGTGAGTTGGCAATGAGATCGGACCATGATTTAGTGCTAGTGGCAGTGGAGATGGGTCATATCTTATGGCGATGACATAAAAAAAATTGGCAATGTCAAAACTTAGAAAAATATTTTGAATTGGCAATTCCATTTTTGAGACGGCATACCAGGAAAACTTTCAAAAGAAAGTCAAGCTATATGCATGCATGTGTTCACTGCACATTTACTCACAGTAGTGAGAATGTGCAAACCACCTAAATGCTCAGCTAAAGGGATGGGTAAGAGAAGATTACCCATTTCATTTTATGAAATGTTATGCCATCATAAAAATCATGGTTACTACGTTGTAATCAAGAAAGATGTCTGTGATAGATTGCCAAACAAAAAGAACCAAAAAAATGTGGACAATGTTTACAACATTACATTACATGTGTACAAAGACTGATTGTAAACCAGAGGAATAAAAATAGCCGTTCTTTTAAAACAGTCTCTTTAATTTTATAAATAAATAGTGTAAGGAAGTCCTCTTCCCCTATGGAAAGAAAGAAAGAGCAAAGCAAAGAAAGGAAGTGAGAAGCAAAGGAAGGGAGGGAGGGAAGGAGGTGGGCAGGTGGGTGGGTGGGCGGGCAGGCAGGTGGTCTTCACAGGTTTATTTTATTCACTTCTTACAACATCCCTTTGGAGTAGATTCCTTTATGTACCAACATTACAGCTCTGAATCAAAGACTAAAGACGTGCAGTCATTTGCTGGAGATCCAGGTAGTACCGGGAGTCATGGTCTACCTACCTGACTTCATTGTGCAAACTCAACTGGTACTCACAGAGGTTCTTTTAGCTTTGTATCTGTTTTTGGCTCTAGAAAATACCAAAATTATTCTTCATGGCTACTAGCTTCATGCCATAATAATGAGGACTGGCCAGTGGAAATCTATAAACAATTCACAATCTATGAACTAAAAAGTATAAAGGTGGGGAAGGAAAATCTACACTTTAAATAATAGGCCCCACTACAATCATGCTACTCTGATGCAGTTTTGGTTTCCTTCCAATATAGGGATTTTTCTTAAAATTCCTCAAAACTCTATGTAGAAATAGATACTCACTTACTTGAATTATTATAATATTTAAGCAAAGGTTGCTTTCAATGTGGAGGACCCACTACTATTTGGGTTCTTCTAGTGCCTCTTGCAAAGCATCATAGCCAACCCAGTAGCCCACTGGGGAGAAAGCCATTGTACGTTCGTGCATGTGAGTGTGTACCCAACAGTGAATATGTAAACACCATACTTATTTTCATGGAATCCAGGGAAGGAGATTTTGTTAATCCTCCAACATAAATATTCAGATTTTGTCTTTCCCATTGATACCGTATGTTCTGAGCACATTATGCAGACTTTCTTCGAGGAGTTCTTATCAGTTCTGCTGCACAAGTAAAAGACCAAGACAGATGTGAAAGAGGAAAAGCAAAGACTTTTGACTTGAAAATAACACACGTTGGCAAGAAGCAGCTAGTCTGAGAGGATGTGGTAACATCTGGTTAAACATTCTGAGGGGATGTACCAAGGAGAGGGGAAGAGACTTTTATCCAGGGTTGAATGTGTAAGTAAATCCAGATAAAAATAAGTAAGTAAAAGCTAATAATAATTGGGAATATTTCTCCTTAAAGATGAAGGCAAAGGATGATAGGCTTTTTCAAGAAGGGAAGTCCTGGGGCTTTTCTCTTTTAAACTGTAGGGAATTAGGTTTTTCATGTTCAGTACCTTTACCTCCAGGGCCACTTACAAAGCCTTTTTCGAGGTTTTCAGGCTTGTGTGCCTTCTCTCCAAGCCACTTACCGCACACCCACTACGCCCTTACCATCTGGAAGCTTCGCGTCGAATGGAATTCACACTGCATCATATCGAAGAAGATAGGGATGGTGGCTTTACGCAGTTCTGTCTCAGGAATTAGCGTCATTTCTAATATTGGGCCGACCATTTCTGGAATGAACTTTATCTTGTGTTGACCTTAAATACAGAAAGGCATTATTCAGAATTTTTTTTTTTTTTGAAGGTTTTTAAATGAGCTTCAACGGACCAAACCGAACAACACAGATCAGTGTGACTTTGAAGGCTAGGATATTGAGGACATGCATCCATGTTTTGTCCACAGGCATTCTGAATGTGTCCAGCCTTTAGCATGAGAAGTGGACTGCAGGGGCGCCTGGTGGCTCAGTCGGTTAAGTATCTGACTCTTAATTTCAGCTCAGGTCCTGATCTCAGGTTCCTGGGATCAAGCCCCACGTCAGGCTCTGTGCTCAGCATGGAGTCTGCTTGTCCTTCTTCCTCTGCTCCTCCCCTGCTCTCTTTCTCTGTCTCTTTCTCTCTCTCAAATAAATATATAAAATCTTAAAAACAAAATAAAAAAAAAAAGAAGTGGACATTCTAAATGTTGTAAGAGCAGCTACTAAAGTATCCATCCAATATAAGACCTGTAGTCATGTCCTATCTGTTATATAAGATAAATGCAATTTCACAAATAGACAATTATATCATATAAATCAAGGACATGAGCAAGGATCTACAGCAGAGCCGGGAGACAAAATACCTGGTATCTCATTTGTGACATTTTGTTATTAACACTAGCAATATATCCAGAGTTAATCAATCTTACTCATATCTCTATACAATCAGAAAAGAGAATGGATCCTCTAAAGAATTTAGGTTTTTGGTTTTTTTTATTACTCAGCTAATAAGGATTTCTGTAAAGAGAGCCATAAAACAAATTTGGCTATTATAAATAACCACACTTAACAAAGTACGTAACCCTCCTAATAAACCTAAATTAATAGATTTCTAAAATTTATACTAAGTGGACACATGCAAAATGCAACCTTCAGTAAGGAATCTGAATATAATGAAAATCTTGTTTTCAACTTTTACTAAATATGTAATACTTTGACTAAGGCTATAAAAAAACGTGATTCTCATCACTTCCCCAAATGCTTAATGTCTCTGATAGGCATGTAACTGTGGCAAAGCATTCTCTTAAAAATGCTATTATATTCAGTCTCTCAGGTGACACTTTTCTTGTATTATGCCTAAAAAATGTCAGAGCCAATGTTTCAGAAAACAGATGATAGTGACACCAAGTCGTTCATCAACACAATTTGAGTGTCATAGAGTGCTCGGTCTGTCACTGACAGCTTTTACTGTTCCAAGCTGGGAGGAACATTTAAGGCAGGAGCAAGTGGTCGTAGATGCAAGGATTGGATTACAAGGTATAAACAGGTTATAAGAACGACGACTTTCTAATCTTTGATTATTGACCTTGCTTCCCATTAGTACAGGAACCTGGCCAGGGGCCAGTGCTGAGCTCTACCTATAGTGATAACCCTGGGGATTTAACCTCAGCAAACAAATGGTCCTCAAGGTGAGCAAGGCCTGGGTGGGTTCTCCAGGAATCGTCTTTACTTTCTTGTTTTTCCTTTTTTTTTTTGGCATTTGCATTATGGATTTCCCCTGGAGCATATCTTGCTCAAATTTAATGATGAACTCGGGTTTGGAATCAATGAGAATCCAGGTGACTCTTGCAGTGGACACTTCAAGAAAAAGAGGATTCATTTTTCTTTCCCCTTTTGAGACAAAGGAAGAACAAGCTGATTATCAGATCACAATAAGAATACTTTACCTCCGGTCACCTTGCCAATCTCCTAGTTACAACTCCCCAATTTCTTAAAACCCACCAAGAGTCTTTCTTCTGAGTTACAAAACATGGAGCCAACCCATCCCCTCCAGACAGTTGGCCATGTTCGCTCAGGGGAGGCAAGTTCTCACCCATCAGTAGCCTCTCCCTGGGTGTTGGGATGATCTCTGCAATCACGAGGGTCCAAACATCCAGGACATTAAACGTAGTCTTACCCAGGAAAATCTCCATGTACACACAGGTAGACTGAGCAAAAATCATCCAGGCACACTGAGGTCTTCTATGGGGCTTTTAATGAACGCACATAATTTGTTCGGTCCCCAAAATCATCCACAAAGGGACCCCCTGAATGAAAACTATCCCAGACCAAACCGGGCTGATAAAGATCTTGCTGTGAGCACGCTGGCTCTGGCGGGACCGTCCCTGCCGGGCCCGGCTGGCTGGCATGCCTTGTGTAATAAACAAAACTGATGTGGAGGCGGCGCAGGCCGAGGTGAGAGCAGGTGCTCTGGGGCCGCGCTTTGATAAATAACTGAAGAGCTTGGGAAAGAAGCACATTCCCCCTCCCCCTCCTTTTTTGGGAGAGAGTGTGCTTTTGATTTCTTCTTTCGGACTCAAAACGTGACAGGTTTGGGAGGGGAAAACATGCTGCTCTGTCCCACGGGGCAATGCCGTATTTGCACTTGCATTAGATCAAGCAGAACAGACCCCGAGTCCTTGCTCTGAAGCTCTGCTTGGAGGGGAGATCGGAGACACTCATCTCAATCACACATATGATTGGAAAAACTCAGGGAAGAAATTGTCTCATGAAGCATTCAGCTTGTTAAAATCAAAACCAAATGGAGACCAGCATTGAAAATTCTCTGGGCAGACAAAACCAGGTTAGTCCTACAAGCAAAACTTCATTTAGCTTATTTTGCAAGGCTAACCTGACGGGAGGCACTTCTTGCTTCTGCCTCTGGAAATCGTAAGCAAAAAACAAAAACAAAAACATTTTCCAAAGGCTGATATGAGGTAACCACTAACCAACTCCCGCTCATTTAAGAGAATTCTAAAATTATAACCAATCACTGATATTATAACCAATAAACAGTCACCACTTTCTCACGACAGAAGCTGCTTTGTAATGATGTACCTCTGAGCCTCCTTCCATGTATTGGTTTGAGTGCTCTAGGCCTGCTAATTGTCTTCTTGGTGTGTGCATAATAAACCTTTACTACTTCAGTGATTTGTTGGTTTTGCTTGTTATTTGTGACCTTTGACAGGATCAAGGCCCGATCGAGTGATAGGTGACTAATTGTAAGATTTACCTGACTTCCATTTTTATTTTGTTGGCAGAGCTGGCTAGATCAACCTGCCAGTATGTTCCCAAACCTGAGTCCATTTAAAAAAAAAAAAAAAAAAAAAAGAGCTGCGTAGAAAATAGGTTGTGTAGATTTTGGGGAACTGAAACGTGCTGTCAAGAGTGGGGGCCTGGACAGTGACACTTGGGGCAGGCTCCAACACCTGAGATTTGCAGCAGAAAAAAGAGCCAGGTGGCCTGAGGTGACCCCATGGAGCCATTCTTAGCTGTTTTGAGGGGCTGCTCAGGGCAGATCCTTTGGGCAGCCGATGCTTTTATTATATGTTTTTAATTTTCAAAAAATAATGTAACTATTTTACAAGCAAGGAACCCAGTCAATGCTGGTTGGTGGTTATTTCTTGCTGTTACCAGATTCCTACCCTTCATTGACCAAGGTCATGGTTTACGTTTGACCTCTTGGCCCTCTCTCAGGCCAGAGTCCACATGCCTGGCTGCAAAGCTGCAAAGCACAGATCTTATGCATTCATCACCCTATTCAAATCAGCAACTGCCAGGAAACAATGGGACATTTGCTCTCCTAACTGCATCCTTTACCTTGCAAATCAAAGATCTCCCGCTTGACTCAGCCTATTTGGAGCATAATGACAGATAATGTTGAGGGAACCAACTGCTCCAAAACAGCTTTAAAGATCTGATTTACACCTAAGGGTGCATCCTCAGAAGGTCGAGGCTTCCCCAGGGCCTGGAAGTGAGCATCACAAAGCAGCTCACATTACCCTGGGCCCTTCGAACCTTCCTTGACGACAATCATGGAGACGGGGCCAGTTGCAAATGGTGGTCAGTCTCAGGCACTACTGAGGTGACCAGGAACATAATTTTTATAGAAAGAAAGAAAAGCCAGAAAGGCAGGCATGACCATCAGTCAGGTCAGTCATGGCTTGAGCTCAGTTCTGGAGCCTTCTTCCATGCCAGGCAGTGACCCCTTCAGGGACCCTCACAGAGGAGGGGAGGGTCCTGGTGGAGCACTAAGGGGCCAGGGTAGGCTGAGTTGGGGAAACAACTATTTATCAAGCAAGAAAAAAGCATTTTATTTTCCTTTTTTTTTTAAAGATTTTTTTATTTATTTTTGTGAGAGAGAGCGCGCACAAGCAGGGGAGGGGCAGAGGGAGAAGCAGACTCCCCACTGAGCGGAAACCAGATGTGGGACTTGATCCCAGGACCCCAGGACCCCAGGATCGTGACCTGAGCCAAAGGCAGACGCTCAACCAACTGAGCCCCCCAGGCACCCAAGAAAACAGCATTTTAGTATGTTAATTATCAGTCTGAATATCTGCCAGGGTGGATACCTCTAGTTATCCTAAATGATGCACAAAATATCAAGCCATTTCAGAATGAAGCACTGTCATTTGAAATCATACCTAAAATTCTCCTTTGGGGGGAAACACATAACTCACAGTGTGTACTTGAGAAATGAAACTGAAAAACTTACAAGAAGGTGTTGCCACTCTCTTGGGAAGGGCCAGCAGGTGAGAGATGGCCTGGGGGCTCTCATGCGGGGGCGGGGGGGGGGGCAGGTGGAGCCCACAGCACCTGACTGGTGGATGCTGGCAGCTAGGAGAGCCCCAGACTCCCTCTCGGCCAGCAGAGAGCAATTCTCTCCATGCCACTCTCTGAACGTCCCTCTCTGCCTTGTTCTGTGCTTTCTAATGGGGATGTATCTGGTCCCTTCCTGGCATGAGTTAGGCAGTGTCTGGCCTCCCAGGACATATGACAAATGCATCTGTCAGAGCATGATCAATTAAAATGAATCATGAATGGCCCTCCTCCCTGTTCTAGAAGACTTGGCATTTCATTACTGAGATCATCATACATATATAAAGAATTATGAAGCGTCAGGATTGGGAGGCTCTTGAAAACTTTAGTCCAACCTCTCTTACAGCCTGGAAAACTGATGGAAGCCCAGAAAGGCTGGGTCATTGGGGAGGCCACACAGCCAGGCAGAGGCAAGGTAGGAAGAAA